GACCTTCAATGCCCATGAAAGGTATTCTTCGGGATCATTGCTTCCATTGAACTTGGGCATGGTAAATTTCAGCTTGCCATAGCGTTGCTCTTCATTGTGTTGTTGGCGATGGTTATGATGATGCCCTTAACATGGAGGGTAATCATCCTCATGTTTCTCTTGGCGCGGAGGAAGTCCATGATCAACTTGCTCTTGTTGAACTTGAGGTTGTGGAGGAGCTTGTCGATCTTGAAGAGGAGCTTGAGGAACTCAACGTTGCATTCGCGGTTGGTAGTTCCGCTCTAGGATTTCTTCTCGAAGTGCTTCCTCTTGATTGCGCCACTTGTGATTGCGGTTGGCGATGGCTCGACTTGATTCTTTAAGGGCACGTTGCGCCTCAAGAGCTTGTGCTTCACGTTGTTGTTGTTGAAGACGTTGAGCCTCGACGTCTTGTTCCTCTTGGTGTAGACGCGCTCGTTCTTCCTCTTGGTGGCGTTGACATTGTCGTTCTTGAGCTTGAGCAAACGCAACTTGATGTGGTGGAGGACGAAGTTCTTGCTCGTCGACTTGCTCTTGTGAATGCTTGTCATGTAGCGGATTGCGAGATGCATGACGGTCTTGACACGCGGCTCGGTGAAGAGTGTTCGATGTCGGTGTACATGAGCCGGAGAAGGTGTCGTCGGAGTGTCGACTTGAGCGGCTCCGTCTTGAGGATGAAGAAGTGGAAGGATGGCGGTTCCCCATCAAGGCGTGGATCTCGTCCATCCTTGCATCGTTCTCTTGCTTGTGAGCGTCGAACTTGTTGTAGAAGTAGTCTCTTGTATGTTGCTCGGAGAGTCGCAAGTCGGTGGCGAGGTTGTCGATGCGGTCGCTCATTACTTGTTGCTCTTGATGCAACGCCCGTTGAGCACCAAAGAGGTGGTTCTTGGTGACGAATGATGACATGTCGTCGCCGTTCTCGATGAGGGGTAGATTGGTAGAAGAACTTGGCCTATCCATCATTCCAAACAAAATGTAAGTGGTAGAAGGAGAAGAACGTATACCAAATGTACCTTGACCGATGTTGAAGATGGATCAAGTTCACTCAAATGCGGACAATGAAATAGCACTATTGGTACCAATTCTTGTCGGTTCTCACACCTACACAAGTAAAAGCTTATGGTGGAGCTTGGTTAGGATTGTGGCGCAAAATTTGATGCAATTGTTAGTTTGACTCAAAGATGTTGAAAAAGATTTGCAAATTTGCAAATGCAACAAGTAGACCATGCAAGTAGTGGTACACAGAAACACACACGCAAATAGATAGATGGGATTGTGCAAACCAAAAGTGAGCCAAAATGTGGAATCCACGAAAATGCTCTTGTTGTACAATACATGAGAGACGCTGGCACGATTGCACAATAGGCGGATACGGAAGTTGTACACAACCTACTAGGCAAAAATGCAACGACCTCTATCCCAAATATGCTATATGTATGGTATTTCGGTGCTATGATCCAAGATGATCGAGTATGACAATCTTAATGTAGTATGATGCTATGGTTCTTGCTTATAAGCTCTTTGCTTATCTTTCTCTTTTGCTTAAAAGCTTGATTGGCTCTTTCTCATTTGAGCTCTTTTCTCATTCAGAACTTCTTGAACCAAGATAGCAATTTGTATGCGATGACAACTTTGTGACACAAAAGTTGATGCCAAGATATGCACCACGATGGTATGGTATGTATGATATGGAGTATGATCACTAATGTGCACAAGTCACGTTGCCGGCAATACTCAATGGCTAGTCTCGATGGGTAAGCAACGCAAAAGTAAGGCTATGTGGTTATCAATGCAATGGCATGGGATAACAAAGATGTCATCGAGGTTACCGTCCTTGGCGAAGATGAGCGGTGGTGATGTTGACGTCAAACCGTACCTATATAGCCGAAACACAATAGGACACGGGAACCACAACTCAAATTCTCAAAGACCAAAAGCAACAATGGTGGTAGCGAAAAGCGGAGGTGGTATAGCGGATGATGTGGTGAAAGCCCTAGGCAAAGATGCCAACGATCGGAAAATTAGATGGTGTCCAATGATGTTGTAGCCTATCTAGGTGGATGGGGGATGTCAATAGCTTCTCAACGAGCTAAAGAACGCGAAAATCGGACTTCGGATGTGGAAGTTATGATGAAAATGGCGAAACTCGGAATGCTGAAACTGGCATGGGCGGTAGTACCGCTCGGATGGGCGGTAGTACCTCTCGTGTCGGGATTTTTCAACTGTTTCAGGCTGAAACAGGTCCGGGCTGTAGTACTGCTTGCGGGGCGGTAGTACCGCTTATGGTGCTCAGCGGTAGTACCGCTTGGGATGGGCGGAAGTACCGCTGGTGTCGGGATTGTTTGCAAAATCTGGATCGGGGCGATTTTGGGGCGGAAATGGATGATTTCGGGGACAAAATTGGATGGATTTCGTGGATGGAAAGAGGTGAAACTTGGGGAGATGCTAGATCCACTCGATACCAAGCAAATCCACGGATCAAAATCAACAAAACATCATCAAACCAACAAATCACAAAAAAAATTGGGGGCTATTTTTGGTGGGGATTTTCGGATTTAGGACGAAAACAACAAAATCAAGCTAGAAAACACGGGGTAGGGGCTCCAAAAACGTGATCAACGTGGCTCATGATACCAAGATGATGTAGGGCGGAACCCTATGGGGTCGATCTTTCACGTTTGGAGAGGATCCCTACGAAGAACACGCAGAAGAACACGAGGGAAATCACGAGGGGAAGACAAGAGGAACACTCAACCGACACGAATATGATCACACAAGTGCTAGATCATCGAGGCACAAAGTAACACGAGATCCAAAGTCAACAAGGGACGATACAAGAGTAACCGTTCTTCTTCGTGAGGAGGTCTTGATTGTCTTCTCCGGATGGAGGCCTTGAATCCGAATGGATCTTCTCCGAAGAGGTGCGGTCCCTCACGAGGAGTAGATCCAGTACGTATGAGCAATGCTCTATCTCAAATGAGCTAAACCAATGCTAACCCTAGAAAGAACGAGGGGAAGGTCTATTTATAGTCTAAGCCTTTGAAGGGGTAAAAGAGGGGCGCAACGAGTATATGGGTCTCGGCCCGGATACGCTGCACACAGGCAGGGCGGTAGTACCGGACCCTCGGGCGGTAGTACCGCTTGTGGAGCTTCAGCTGTAGTACCGCTCTGAAGGGGCGGTAGTGCCGCTCTGGAGCCGTTCGATCACAGGAGTTTGTCGGGTTCGGCGGAAGAAGGGCGGATGTAGGGCGGTAGTGCCGCTTGGCTGGGTTCAGCGGCAGTGCCGCTTGGCCTGGGCGGTAGTACCGCCCGTTCCAGGCTGGGTAGCTTCTCCTCTTGCTCTCGACGACCATCTTGTATCATAGCTTCTTCTAGGTTGGTTCCTTGGTACCTAAGCACACAAAGCATCTCCGTTTGAGGTAGTAGCCATGTCTCAAGTGGGTCAAAGGGAAGTTCAACAAGGAGAGAGTTAACCTCGGATTGGATAGCACGTGCTCGAGCTCTTGTCATGGGTCCACTTGGAGCTTGTGTAGTCAAAGTAGTGTCCATGGGGATGATCGAAGGATGCTCCGCATCAGACAGCTTCGCATCTTTACAAGTTGCAAGGGAGTACTATTGCAGGTGGAGTCACGATGACTGGAGTTGCGGGAGTAGCAGCGGGATCCCACGGTGGCGGCTGGTCTGGGCAGACTCGTCGAGTAGCTCTTCGTAAGCTACGAAGAAGACAACACAAGTCCGGAGTACATGGAAGTTTGAGACATGAACAAATTCAAGGTGGTGGAGAATATTCGCCAAGGTGGAGTTTGTTGTGTTTGCGTCGAATATTGTGTACGAGTTGGGTTACGTTTGGACTTGGTGTTGTAGTGTGGGTAGGATACTTGTAGTGTCGAAGTCGGACACGTTGTACCCTTGGCCTCTTATATATGAGGAGGCACCCCATGTTGTAACCCATGACGACTAGATAGCGACAGGCTCGCAAGGGGGTGCCGGCGCCCGCGTGGCCGGTGTTGCGGTATCTCGGGGAGGAGCGCCCGTAGTCATTGCCCCTGGGAGTAGGCGAGTTCGCCGAACCACGTTAACAAATCTCGGTGTCGTCATTGTGCTGTGATTGCTTGTTCCTCGGTGGATCGACCGTGTACCTCGGATTTATTCTAACTGTATCTACCACGCCAAGGCATAACTTTGTTGCCCACCTTGGAAACCAGAGGCTTGAATTCCTTAGCACTAAGATGAAAAGGGGAGATCGGGAGCCCAAGATACTTGAAAGGGAAGGACCCAAGGGAACAGTTAAGGAGCTGGGAAACCCGAAGGGCCTCATCCTCGACCCCAGTAGCAATGACCTCACTTTTAGAGAAATTGATTTTAAGCCCCGACAAGGCTTCAAAGCAAAGAAGGATGAATTTAAGATTAGTAAGACAGGCATCATTGAGTTCCACTAAGATAGATCGTATCACCAGCATACCGAAGATGGGTGATGCCATGAGGAAGGAGGTGACAAACGCCAGGAGTTATATGCCCAGCCGAAGCCAAAAGGATAGAAGAAATAGGATCACCTTGTCGTAGGTCCCTACTATTGACAAAGTATTTACTAACCGAACCATTAATAGCCATAGCCGTGTGTCCCTCAGACACCAGCTGCATCAGTCTGTGCACGAAACCAGATTCAAACCCCTTGACATGTAACACTTGTTGCAAGAAATCCCAGCTTACCGAATCATAAGCCTTTTCAAAATCTAGTTTGAGAATAATAGCCCTAGAGCAACGCTGAGGTCATGCACAATCTCGTGCAAACAAAGAACACCCTCCAAGATATGTCTCGCTTTGATGAAGGCTGACTGAGTAGTACCTGATACTAGAAAACTTTAAACCGACTCATATTATGATTTCCTATCTCTACTCTAACACGTATCTCTACTCTAACATGTTTGGATTACTCTAACACTGAACACCCAAGTATCAGTGGCTAGCTGAGGCAAAGACTTCTATTTCTGGAGGAACTTCTGCTTTCCACGTGAGATGAGGTTCCACAGACTCCTAGTGCGGGAGTCAGGCTCTTGGTCGTGGACGGGGATGTCCACCTTCTCTGTGGCATCCACCATAATTATCTGCGCGAGGTACTTCATCTTGCGCAGCGCCGTCACGACCACCACCACGTCCACGTTTCCCACCACCGTCAGCGTGCTCTCGCTGCTGTCGAATGTCAATGACTGGATCCCTGATATGGTTAAACAGCATCGGTCGAGACAGAGGACACATGAATGACAAGGCGTGAGGAAATCATGGCTATAGTAGAGAGAAAGACTGTACCTTTGACCTTTGACATAGCTCGCAAGATGAGTGATTTGCTGTTACTGTAGTTCATCGGCACCTTAAGCACTATCTGGTTGAGAAAAATAATGACTAACCAATAAATTTCATATATACACAAGAATACATAAATTAGGATACTTGAAGATTAATTTGTATGCATGGTATACCATCCTTGCTGAAACATACTTGCCTCAAAGATTAATTTGTAAAAAAGAGTGCAACTTCAGAAGAAAAAAGTAATGCAATTTCTGTTCTTGCAAACATATTTGCTATTATTCAGTTACCAGAATTTTTAGGGGTTTATTTGTTTTCTTGCCACCATCCTATTTTCAACTACTATAATTACACACACTAGACACTAGTAAGTTACAGATGGGTTGCTACGGAATGTCAGAATAGTATGTTGTCATGGTAGACACGCTGATTCACAAGTATTTAAACTGCTTTGATTACTATGGCTAGGGACATTCTCTATCCTTTTATCATCCTCTTTGCTAGTTTGATATTTGGTATTTTCGAAAAATGTTTGTGATGGCCGCTAAAATTAGTGTTTGGTATTATATTTGTCGAATACCCATTCTAGTGGCATCTTTGCCACACCGTGATAATCTTTTGTTCTCAAATTTCCTTGAGCACATAGATATAAGTGCATGCGCATCAAGTTTGACTCTTTGATGTTGAGGCTAACCCGTTGCCCATTATTTCTCTCGGTTCGACATAAGTTTAGTCTAATACTCCCATTGAGAGACTGCACATCCCAGGTTATCGGCCGGCAGGTCAGCGAGACGGTGGAAGCGGCGGCGCTGTTGCCGGAGGTGAGGAGGAACAGAGGTCGGGTGAGGGAAAGACTTGGATTGAGCAGATAACGACACTGGGGGTTGGAAAGTTAGGGTTAACAGTGGAGAAGAGAGGAGGATCATGGGCTGCTAGACGAAGATCTAATGGCTACAAAATTTGACTGGGATTTCTGAAACATTTCAGTAAATTGACTATTACACGTCCTGCTTAAGAATCTATAAACTTTATTAGTACATGTATTTTGTAAAAAGACTTGTTTATGTGAAACATAGTTATGTAAGATGTAAATCCAACATCCTACAGTATTTGCCAGCAATTTAAACAGAAGCAGTTATTGGACAGTGTAAGCTTTTTCAGAAGCCTTTCTCTGTTGACTAGCTTTGAGAATTAATTACTAATTCCAATCTTAAAAACAAGACGTTTTAGACACATCATATCGGAAATGCATCGGCCATTAATTTCTACTATAATATAATTATATAATCTAATAAATTGTTATTTGAAAGTATATTTAAAACAAATCTGTACATATGGATTTTACACATGAAGAAAAATATTTAGAAATGTCAGTAGTCGATTTTTTTTATCAAAACCATGCTCAGAATGTCATTTTTTGGATTGGGGGAATAGTTGGCAGACCATTAAGATTTTACCGCTTGTTTGAGGGAGCTCCTAACTTACCCTAACGCCCGTCGGTTGTAGCACCATTGGTGCATTTGGCACTGGTGACGCTTGTAATTCCTCTCCTGATGGTTGCAATGTTGCTTTGGAAGTAAAAATCATCTGCATATAAGCCATCACCTTAGACAGATCACTTATTTTGCAGCAAAAATGTGAATAATGAAACAGGTTCTCAGGTCAAATTAAATTAGGGATCAGGAGTAAGTATATATAATATGTCATATTGCCATGGCACCAATGTACATATATACCTGCTCTGAGGATGAATCACATACGTCACTTTTGACTGGCAGTTCTGTTTCCTCTTTATCAAGCCAATCAATGATATCACGTGTAATGGGTCTGTTCCTCGGGTCATGGTCCATGCATCTTACCCCTATATCAATGCATACTTTTATTTGCCGGTAAGATGCTTCGAATGTGTACCCCTTAGTTGCGTCCAGTTCCAACTTACTCCTCCAACTTTCAACTATCTATGAATTTGAAAATTATGGTTTGAATTAGGGATCAGGGGCATATGTGTTATCATAAATCACATATATTCAACTGAATATGCAAATTGTGACTATTCAGATATCAATATAAGTTGTAAAACTAGAGAAACTGCATAAGGTTTGTTCTAGCCAAGACTAGGAGAAAGAAACAGAAGGAAATTTCTGCATGGACAGTAGATTCCTGCCATGAATTCTTTTGGTTTTGACGAGCAGTGGATTTTGTTTTCCTTTGTAGGTTTTTCCATGTTCCTCTTAAAAATGTGCCAGCTTTGTGCATATTATCTCTTATCTACTTGAAAAGGCAACACAACTGCCAGTTTCTCAGAAGGGGAAAAATACCCATTGTTTTCATTGAAATTCCTTTATCTCTTATTTTCATCGCCATTCTGAATTCTATATAAATTCTAGTGTTCCATGTATGTTTGCTACCATGATAATATGCAAAACTGTAATGTGAGATGACCATTTTGAAAATGTTTCCTTTATACATACGTGCTTAAATAAAACTAGTCTTACACTCGCTATGTTTGAGTAGTTCTCATTGTTTTGTCCAGTTACTATCTGCATGATTATAACTCCTAAACAGTATATGTCAGATTTAAGTGTGATTTCTCCACCAGCCAAATATTCCGGCGTTGTCATGTATGCCCTGCATGAATAAATAATTATCAGACACAAAGGTATTTCAATCCTATCATTGTCTCACAGAACAATGGAGTTTTAGCATAGACTCGGCTTACAGCGCTCCATCGATGTCTTTAAGGATAGTTCGTCCTATCTCTTCACTAAAGACTCTTGAAAAACCATACTCCAATATTTTGGGCACCATTTTCTCATCAAACAGTACATTTTCTGGTTTGAGATCCATATGAGAAATACAATTTTTGTGAAGATAATCCAAGCCTTGACAAATTCCTTTAATTGTTTGATAGCATGTGTGCCAGTCAAATCCACCAGATCCATCTAGATTAGTGAATATACTGTCAGAAATGTGAAATATAAAATTAATAAAAGTATGATGCAAAAAAAGGTAAAGGGATCAACTGGATCGTGTCACCCCACATACCAGTAAGATGCATCTGAAGATTTCCGTTACGTAGATATTCGAAGCAGAGCAATCTCTCTCGCTTCATAATAGCAATGATTTTGTCGCCTTCCCTTATCACCTTCCATTGTATGTCAGCACAATAACCTAGAAACCGTGCTATGTTCTTGTGCTTAACACTAGTCAGGGAATTAGCTGCGTCAAGAAATAGTAAGTCACCAATTTCAGGTGCAATTCTGAGCCTCTTCACAACAACAGTACCCCCATTTGAAAGATTTCCCTGTTTAATTTCCCTTGTTAGGATGAACTAGCTTGAGCATTTACGGGTTTTAGTGTTCACAACATTCAAGTTAAGTATAGCTGAGATTGGATGTTTGTTCAATTAAGTAGGCATACCTTGTAAACCACTCCTAACCGACTTCTAGAAATCTCATGGTCTTCAGAGAATTTATTGGTGATCTCTGCTAAGAGTGATAACTCAAGACATGTAGGCTCAACACTTCCATTATGCAGCATGCTCTCCAGGACATTATGTTTATTAGCTTCATCTGGAATACTATGAAACAATACTTTGATCTGCAAAGGTGTGCAGCCATGTGAAACAATACTTTTTGTAATACAAATCAGTGTTATGATGTCATTGTTAACCTTTGTCAAATTGTATTTACGCGCGCCTAGAAAATTTTCTTAATATACTTGCCTCAGATTTGGTCTTTTCTGGTCCCATATTTTCATAAGTATCTGTCAATTCTGCATGATGTCCATCATAGGCCTCCTCTCGGCGGGGACTCATCTGCAATTAAGGGTGTGCTGGTTCAGTTTCTTCCCTGATAATGGGAAGTTTATTAATCTCTTTTTTTAAGGAAATGCCAGTTCAATTAACTAGGAGTAGCATGTTGTTTTGAATTGACAATCAGGAAAAAAACTGAATCAACAGCGTGTATTTTTATGTTGTTGGATTACACTAATTAGATCACAGATATTATTTTTCGAGGACCCAACAGGAGCATGACATTAAGTACGACGAAAAAGGAAATGCTATACAAGCCGGCCATGAAGATGGTCAACCAAAGCCGCCCAAAAAACAAGCCATGAGGACCACTAACACAAGTTTAAAAAGTCAGCTGCAAGCACAGGTTTTTGTGGTGCTTGGTAAATACCATGGTAATCTGTTTACAGAGGATTTAGTTTACTGCACTTCCAAATTAGGCCTGAGAAGACTCACCTCGGACCTCTTATCTCCTTCCTGTGGAGCATCCGAAGCTTCACCTGCCTATTGAGACCAATCACACCTCAGCACATACACCAGTTCATGCCAATATAATTGAAAATGGAGGTGTAGAAAATTTCTTAAAAATTGGGAGCATGTTTTGTGATGTGAGTGAACATACCTGCACTACTGCTGAAATCCTGCTCACACTAGTTTTGATGGATACATCGATAATACTCACTTCATCAAGCCTATCGATCATATACTTCGTAGCTGGTCTATTACCTGGGTTAGGTTCAACGCATTGTATCCCTAACTCGATGCATACACGTACTTGTTCCAACATCCTGTCTTCCCGTGATTTCGGCAGCCTTGTCCTCCAAGTTTCAAGTATCTGTGAGATTACGACTGAGTTAAGAGTTGTGAAAACGATCAACATCCTTAAAGAAATATATACAATCTATATGAATTTCATATGTCATGTTAGAGTGTAGTAAAACATCAATTTAGGTAACAGACTAACAACGAAAATCTCAAAATTTAACCATGGATTCGAGTCAAATATAACATCATGTACATTGCATTCCTCATGTTTTTCAAAACATGTAGAAATACAAGATAAATATTCCTTGAATATAGTCCATTATATGCCTATAATTGTTTGCATGCCTTTTAATCCATGTTTTTTAATGTATTTCTTTTTAGTAGTACGTACTACATTCATCTTTTTCCACCTAAAATGTTACTGCTACCTACACATTCTGAAGATAGTGTTGTTTGATTCTCATATCTTCAAAAGCTTAATTGCTTCAACTTACTTTCTCTTTGAAGCACTGGAAAGGTGCGCTGGTACTTTGGGAACTATTGTCCCTGCTGAAGTGTTGGAGATCTGGAAATGCACTCAGGGGATAGTTTCTAGAACCAGTGAGCATCTCGATAATTATTACACCCAAACTGTATATATCTGCCTTGATGGAGACTACACCTTGGAGTATGTATTCTGGTGCCATATATCCACTGCAGCATGATTTGAAAATTTGAGGCACTGCAAGAAGGATTATAAGATGCAATAAAAAGAAGGTATAGCTTACTGTGTTCCTGGACGATTCACAGTGATGATTCGGGATTGCTTGTCACCAAAGATCCTTGACAGACCAAAATCGGCAATTTTTGGTACCATAGTAGCATCCATCAATATATTTTCAGGTTTCAGATCCAGATGAACAATATGGCATTTCTCGTGAAGGTAATGCAAACCAGCACAAATTCCCCTAACTATTTCATATCGCGTGTTCCACTCGAGGCCCGAAGATTCATCTGTTACATTGATAAAGAGAAGAAAGAGAAACGATTTTAAACCATTTCAATGATTACACGTGTGGTACCCTAACAACCGAGTCATGATCTCATAAAGTAACACTGCAGGGAGGAATAAAGATAAAAGGAAACGAACAATGTAGAGTTTTTCCTTATCATACCGGAGATATACTTGTCAAGGCTTTTGTTACATATGTGCTCAAAGCAGAGTAATCTTTCTCGTGTTTCAGCAAAAATATAATTCCCACTTCCTCGCAGGTCTATGGCTTCCCAACTTGATTTTGCACAGTAACCAACAAACCGCACCACATTTTTGTGCTTGATCCCCATGAGAGAACGGACTTCCTTCTGGAATATCTCATCTTCCAGCCTGTGTAAGTCAAAAAGCTTCTTCACAGCAATAATTTGCCCACTCAGAAGAACTCCCTGTGATACAAGCCAGATCTCTCTTGATATAATGCATTATTACTAACAAACATTTGATAAGTGGATCAGGCGGGATTGAAGTGCATACGAACCTTGTAAACCACTCCATATCCACCTCTGCCAAGTTCCCGCTCAACCGAAAAATCACATGTGATGGCTTTCAAAAATTCAAATGGCAGAAAAATTGGAGTCGCAGTTGGATCCTGCAGCTTCTCCTCCCATGTATCAATTGAACCAGACATTTTCAGCAGCAGATCTCCCTGGGTTTCCATCTATA